GTACTTATATTATAAGAGTGCATTCAGAAGAGATGATCCGCAGACTAACTGATCCACCAACTTAATATACTTAAAAGGGATGCTGCTAATTAATTCCCTCATGGTCTCCCCGGGAATTGCTTTTTCAGTGGGGTTGACCATAAATTGGCGGCATATTTAGTCTGCGGATCAGTTAGTCCGCGGAACAACTGTTCTGAATGCGCTCTAAAGTAACACATGGGCCTGAAAACATTTATTAATTCATGGTCAGAATGCATGTATATCGTAATGTGTAAGGAAGGCATATCAGTACATCAAATTCTCATTCATGGAAAAGATTCAAGTGTTTGAGAGATGAGTGATGAGTGAAAGAATGTGTATGTATTACTAAATAGTAATACTTTCACATAAAACTATCACTTACGCTAAATTCAACATAGAATAATTTTATTAGTAATATGAATCTGATTTTATCTGATAATGTTATCGCATTTTCTACTCACCATTTTCCGATTATTCTTGGCAGTATACGGTCAAGCCTACCTGCTCTACCTGCTCTCTATTGTTGTGGTTTTATATATATCCCTCCGCCGTTGTCAGGGTTAGGCACCGAGTTCAAAACTGCCAAATTACACTTAAGTACTTATAGTATACTTCAGTATTTAAAAAAAAAACGGAACAGATTCCCTTTCTCGAACGTAATTGTTAAAATATGCAGCAACTGTACTTTTTCCATTTTGAACGTATTAATTATTATCTCGGAAGAATCTCCATTTCTGAGGAGTAGTGCCAATTAAGATCAATTAAGTGCCAGCAGTTTTTGATTATTATTGATTGATTATTGATCTGGATCACCACCAAAACCCAACCAAATAGCGGCGAAATGGGGAGGGGTGGGTGGGTTTAATGAAATTTGGTGTGAAGATATGTCCGAAGGAGTTATGAACTTCTGTGAAGTAAAATGGAAAAATATCCATTTTTTGGCAAAAATATGGGGTGCACAATATTTGCTCTTGTTTTGTCCCGAGATAGCCAGTTTCACTCTCCTTTAGGCCTAAATAGGCCTATGGTACATATATCTGTACATGAGAATAATTTTGAAAGGAATAAAATATTTGATATTAATGTATTTATTCGATTGGAACAAACATGTAACATCACAAGTAAATTGTTTTTTTTTAATGATTTTATCCCCCTTGTAATTGATGCCAGTTTTTCTCACTTCTCCCCCGAACCAAGTTTGAGACCCCACCCTCACAAAAACGTAAGATCACCTGACGCAGCGGGGAGTAGACTCATGATACTTGCCATAAGTATCAACTAATGATGGTTCTGTCAATATAAATAATAAAAATCACTTCAACTTTTTTGAGTCGGGAGATATATGCCCTTCTTTGTCATTAAAATGACTCCTCACCGTCCACCCAGGTGGAGTGCACTTTGTCCAGCGGAATCTGTTAGTATAATAAGAAGTGTTACCCTAAATAAATATAAAAGTTGTAATTATAAGATAGTCACAACAGTCCAATATATGTTTATTTAAATTATTTGAAAAGTTTTAAACCTGGACTTACTGATCTTTAAGCTGGTGCCACACAAGGAAACGTGTGACAAATATTGTAACTAGAAAAGCACTCCTAGAGCGCAGACCTCCGCCAAGGCAGCAATTTTTATTATTATTGATTATTGATTAATTATTGATCCGGATCACCACCAAAACCTAATTACTTTTAAGTTAACCCATTTCTGACCTACCCTGAAAATTTCATCAAAATCGGTCCATAATTTTTTTAGTTATGTTGATGATTGATTTTGATTATTGATTATTGATTGATTATTGATCCAGATCACCACCAAAACCTAATTACTTCTAAGTTAACCCATTTCCGACCTACCCTGAAATTTTCATCAAAATCGGTCCATAATTTTTTGAGTTATGTTGATGATTGATTTTTGATTATTGATTGATTATTGATCCCGATCACCACCAAAAACTAATTACTTCTAAGTGAACCCATTTTTGCCCTACCCTGAAAATTTCATCAAAATCGGTCCATAACTTTTTGATTTATGTTGCTGACAAACAAACAGACAGACAGACATATAGAAAGACAAAGAGGGGTGAAAACATAACCTCCTTGGCGGAGGTAAAAATTGTAAAGAGTACTTGGCCAGTACTGTGGACCCATTCCCAATGAAACTATAATTCTACCTAGATCGATCCAACTCGATGGTTACTCTCACTAGATGTAATCAGGTTAACAGATTGTTATGCCTCTTCTTGTTTCCTGTGTATTCTTACAATCACCATGGCTGCAGATTTTCTGCTGAATTCTACTCATTGCAAGGAAGTGTTTTTCTGATAGCATTCAGCGAGAGTCCCCCTGAAGTTGGACCCAAGTCGCATTCTAATCTGTCACATCGATATCCTCAGTCACATCCTCAGCTGTACATCAGGCCCGTAACCAGGGTGTGTCCTGGGGGGGGGGGGGGGGGTTAGACCACCTTCCTACTCAACTAATATACATTTAATTCATTATATTGCTCACACCAAAAGAAAAATGATAGATTATATCTAAAAATCTCACGATTATTTTTATTCCAACGCAGGCCTTTGATATTCTAAACTGGAGACCAGCTGAGTGATGAAATTAATTTACAGCAGAAAAAAATTGTCATGAATAATCCAGAGATTATCAAGAGAAAATCAATCTGTGGTCCTGTTAGAGGGAAGACCTTTCCAGAGATTGAAACAGGAGACCATGTAGGCCTACATGTATTTCTCGGTGACTTCTTGCCGGAGGTAAAGTACAGTGTTAGGCAGAGCCCATCATTTAGCTGTGCACGCCCGCTGTAGTACTAAAATGCATCCTGGGATGTGCTAGACGGGACAATGGCAGGTAAATGTCTCGGTTGCCTCCACCAAGCCACTGACATGATAATGGTGTGTGACGTCACGAGCGGCAGTGCATGCATCACGAGGTTATTGCCCAGACTTGGTGCTGAATCCTGTCAGTCGTGCTGAAAGAGGATGAACGCTGCAGTGGAACTTGTCGTGTTATTTTCTGTTGTTTCCCTGGGAGCAAGTCAGGTCCCAGTTCCCAAACTACCCCCAGGACACACGTACGGGAATGGTTCCAGTAGTGCTCCTATTCAGTTGGATTTCTTTATAGATCTGCAATGTTCTGATACCAAGGAGGCATTCCCGACTTTGCTACAGGTAACACGCACTCTAGGATATTATATATTACACAGATTTACGCGCACTAATGATATTATTTTAAATTAAAGTCGAGAACGGCTATAGCTACTAGGGGTGCTTTTGCGGCAGCAAAGAAAATGAATTTTGGGATTGATTGACTTTTTATGACTGAAATAATTAATGTTTAAAAAGTGAACTTCAGTTATTTTATAAAATTGAAATTCGAGTTAACGCATAGAAATGCATCGAGAATTCGTATCAAGACTTCACTCGAATTCCAAAGATGTTTTTTGCGATTGTCTTTGTTTTCTCGCAAGATTTGTAGCACGTAACAGCTAATTGTATGAGAATTTATTTACAATCGATTAGCAGTCATATTTCTCTTTGGACTTCGTTTACCTTTATTATCTTGCGTTTCTTTTTAGGTGGCAGACTATTATGGTGGGAAGAGGTTGCGACTTCTTTTTCATTTCTTTCCATTGCCCTACCACCGCAACTCTTACGTTTTAGCACAGGTGAATTATTCGATACCTTTTCTGATGGTTCAATCGACTTTCAGTTGATTATGGCGGTACTCGGAATGTCTTTTAATGTCTTCCAAAATGAGCATGTTCTTGATGTAGGTAAAATAAGGTTAAAAGACAAAAATGACTTATTAATTTATTTATTTATTTCGAAAATAAACTTCAGGTCCCTTTGAGATATTTCTGAACTAACTGTACGTGCAAGGGGTTGTGCAATGCATGTCTGTAGGCCTATATTTTTAGGCAGGTTTTGGAAAGAACCATTTTGCATCCTATATTTTTTTAAGTGCCTAGATTTTTGATCATGATCAAGAACGTGTCTCTTCACAAATCATTCGCACCTTGAGTAGTGTCAATGTCATCGTATGTAAGTGGGATGATTAAGTGCATATTTTCATAGAGAATGACAATGTTTTAGTAATGTAAGCTCGGCTGACTTCGCAAATCATGATCAACCGTATAAATTATGAAATCCAATGTAAGTATAACCGTCACATTGAACAATAGTTATTTTCATTGATATCAGATAATAAACAAAGAGCTATTTTTGAACTTTCGAGTTAAATGTTTGGCAAAGATTGTTAGTTTGAAGATCGTATTTTTTTTAATGTGGTGAATGTATACGTACTTAAACGGTTTGAAGGCATTACAGTAGTAGATGGGTTATCAGACATGAATTTTTTTCCGCGGAATAACGGACTTCTGAGATTTTACACCTCAATTCTGATTGAGATTCTTCTAGATAAAGTGTTGTGTTCCACGGTAAAACTTCAGAGATTTATGTAAAACATAAATTCGCGTTAGGCCACATTCAAAACAGTGGAATAACTAGTCCGAGGGCCAAATATGGCCGACCCACTTGAATACTTCCCCACGGGGAATATATTTCGTGTCTATTAGCGGATTAGACGACAAGCTTTTTAGTGGGTCGCCATATTTGACCCTCGGACTAGTTAGTCCCCTGTTCTGAATGCGGCCTTAGTCTTAAGAGTATGGTTTGTCATGATTCTCATTAAAAAGTTCTCCCATGCACGATGCAGGGGGCAGAGCTCATCGCTGCCAAGAACAATGAAGCCGTGGCGTTGGCATATATGAACGCAGTCTTCAGAGTACAGGATAGGTTTCTGAACAAACCAACTGAGAACAAATCTGCCATTGCTATTATCAGGTAAGAAGGGTCAACTTACTGTATTCATATGAAGCTTGTTCTTGGCCAAATTTATTCTGAATTTATTGGCGAGTCATGGTCTGTACTTGCACAATCAACGAGAGCCCCTACTATGTGCATAGCTATAAAACTTAAACCTCTTATCATCCACTATTGTTCGATGGAATTGGAAACTGATACATCTATGTATATTTCCATCTACATATACATATCAAATAGTGTGATTTTGATGTGGGGATTTTGTCAACCTGTAATCCAGATACGCACTGTAATCTTGTTATGTAACATTTACAGTGATGTGGCAGCTGTAGCAAGGACAGTGGGTGTAAACCCGAGCCAGTTTATAAATGAATTGGCCAACTACGACAGTCCATTGAGAACCCAGTGGAAATATGGATGCACAAGTAATATGAAATAAAACATTATGTGATTTGGTTGAGCGACCTTTGAGAGCTAACTCGATTTGTATGAATTTTTTCTACTCTCTCTCTCTCTCTCTCTCTCTCTCTCTCTCTCTCTCTCTCTTCAGTGTTGAATAACCGATGTGACGTGACAAAGAGTCCCCCAAGATAGAGAGTCCGCGCACTTCCCATTTATTTGTACTATACCGGTAATCCAAGATTTTGACCCACCTAGGTTAGGCTAACCCTAACCATTATAACTAAGTAGAGGGCGGACTTTCTGTTACACTGACCCTCAGTTTCGTTACACCGGATCTCAACAAAGAAAAACATTTTATACAACTTATTGTTACTATAATGGATATTGCAAAGTGCTTTATCTTATCATAAAAATTCATCATTATTAATTATAACTTTAACGTGTCAAAATGTAAAACTGATATGGCGATATTTTACTACCACTTGTACTACATGTATTATTACATAATGCGTGATATCTGTATTCAAACCAAAATGTCTTCTTTACCTTCGTCCTACCTTCCCGTGCCCTGTCCTGTTTTTTCCTACTTTCGTATTTCTAGGAGGGGTGGCAGGGGCGCCAACCTTCTTCATCAACGGAAAAACGATTACCCAGGCTACGTTATCTTGGACTGTAGACGATTGGAAGAAAATCATTGATCACACCTCATCCTCTTCTTCCCTCTCTCCCTCTTCTTACCAGCTGTTTTGTGTCGTTCAGCTCTTCTTCTTTCTTATGTACTTTTAGGAGGAGTAGCCCAGACACCTGACTTCTTCATAAATGGAATACAAATCGTTCAGGCCACGCCATCTTGGTCGCTTAAGGACTGGAAGAAAATTATAGATCCGCTATTGACCATTTTAGATTAGTTTTGTATATAGAGGCCAAATTTTGCTTTACAGAATCGTTAATTGCTTTGCAAAGTCGAAAATGGGTAAAAAAAAATGTTTTAATAAAGCATTGCATACTAAGCAAGTTTAATTTGGAATAATCCAACGAAGTAGTAATGCTCTGATTAAAACGAAATAAAAATGTATTTGTCGAAATACTGCAAGACTTTTCCTCTAAACACTAGATTTGGAGGGAAAACATAAGTTACATCATTTTATTTTTCCTAGTACGTACTCTTGCTCTCAATTATTTTTTTCCACCTTTGAAATAATTTTCCATTCTAACCTCCAGAAAAACGAAATGAAAAAAGTGCTACTTGTTATATTATCGTATTTAAATCACTCATTTTTCCATAAGCTCGTTTGCGCGGGAAACACAAGTATTTGATCTTGATCATTTATCGCTCTTTGTTTATCTAGTACTATTTCCCCATTATACTTTGAATAAAACATTTCCTATGAGAAACATTTTTCTTGGCCTGTTAACATTTCCAAGCCCTTTCTGGATTTTTTGGGAGTTATTTTCAAAAACATTTCACTACTTTTTAAGTTTGAATGCTACGCGGCAAAATCATTGACGTCAGATTACCATGTGGTTTTTGCACCAATAAGAATTTATTTGCATGTATACGTCAGGAAGAGGCTTACCTACACTTTTGCCGTGTCACTCGACTACTTAAGGTAAGTTTTCCGTCCAAGTTTCAACTTCATAATATATCTTTCTGAGATGGACATCGTTATAGTTATCTTCCGACTTTGATGCTCTAGGTAATTTTATCTGAGCACGGAAAAAGCTGAGGCTAATATCTGATGGAAAAAGGGTAATTTTTTAAGAGTTGTAACGTTGATTAACGTAACAACACAAATATTTGATGTAACAACGCCCTAGACTGAGACCGCTAACTCTGAGATATGAGCCTGCTTGTAAGGGGAGATCAAAAGGCTCGAGAAGGCATGAGAGGGGGAAGCAGGCCTGTTCGTCGACCAAAGGCAATTTCTGTTCTTGTAAAGTCATAAAAATGTGTTTACATTTGACGTTACCCTTGGGTGTAAAACAAAGGAATGTAACGGTATATAAATATGCATTGCTGATAGTCACGGGTAGTCGACCTACACCTCAGTAAATTGTGCTTGATAAGACCCCGAGCCATATCACCCTGCAATTATGGTGAACGGTATGGCATATCAGACTGAGGATAAACTACAAGCTGTTTCCGGAAATTATTTCATAAATTGATGTTCGGTTATAATTGTGGAGTATGCATACTTAATTATCGGAAGCTTTTTCTGATATTTTAGGCGGTTTTTTTGCTGGGACTGGTAGGTACATTTCTATAGAAGTCTCATAACTTCCAGCATTAACATTGCATGTCAGTCACGATGAACGAAAAGGTCTATTTAGATGAAATTTTTGACCTTATTCTACAGCTTTAGTTAACTGAATCGTGTGTGGAGTTTTAAATGTGCCAACAAAAGGCGATTGTCTTTCAAGTGCTCATCTCCAACCGCCTTCACAAAGATTGCGTTTGCGAAGACAAAACACAATGAGATGGGCACAGCAACTCGCTGAGTGTGGTTGATGGGTGAATGTTTCCATCAACTCATTGATTTTTGTCCCATCCGTCATGTTAAATAACTCTTTCATCTGAAAGAATAACCATGAAATATTGACTGCTATCTACCAATCTTGAAATGCATTTAGGCAAACACAGCAGTGATGGAAAATTGGATTTAAGATTAATTTTCAATATGCTTGGCTTTCAGAATACTTCCATTGGCTGTGCAGGAGAGTCTCTTTAACTGCGGAAGTGAAGAGCATCCTGTTTTAGATAAAGGTAAGGGTCTTCTTGTTGATACATATCAATATAACCGCTGACAAAGTAATTCAGATAAATAGTGTACTCTTTACTGGGAATATTGCCCACTAGTAGAGGCGATTTTATTCTTTGAGTGGTTGTTATTTCGGCCAAAAAAGTATATTTAAAAATTATTTTCACAGTTAAAAAAAGGAGTACAAAAAGAAATAGAAATATCTTATGCTTGTAAAAGTATAAGATTTACTTCTTGACGCCTCAACCCTCCGTTTATCTATAATTTGATGGTATTCAAATCAGGCTTGAAACTGAGGAGTGTATTCTTTCTTCCAATGAATGTCATTCTGTGAAAATATGTGCAGCGCAATCTTTCTGCCTAACAAATCAATAAAGAACGCAGTTGAATGGGACGCGACGCTAATACCGGTATCGGTTGAACTCTAATGCAATAAGATATGATTATTTACAGCATTCATATCATATTAAATCGATTAGCATGCATAATGTATGCCTCGGCTTTGTATCATCGGCATTGTTTCTGACGTGGGGAAAGAGAATCGACCAATTGTAAGACGGCATTTTATGGGCCCCCAGAGGGCGCTCGCACGTTAATCAAACCTTGTTACTTGTACATGCCAGCTGGTTCATCGGTCGATCTCATAGGAATACAGCTGTGGCCATTTTGATTCATCAAGGTAGGCTTATATTTCGGTGTGAAATATGATACTTATAATGAAAAAAATCTCGATCTTTTACAAATGGGAATATAAGATTGTTACTTAATTTGATATTTGCAGTTGTTCCTCCTCAGAGGCCAGGTGTTAGGATAGGTTAGCGTTTGCTCTAGAAGTAGAATCTTTATAGTTGGGCAGGTAAAAGCGTCGGAAATCATATTAAAACTGCCTTGTGTTTCATATATTTAAAAGCAGCAATTGAAATCAATTCATTTGGATCTTAAATTCGAATATTTTGCTCCATCCAATCACACTACTCAAAAGTTCATCTTTAGAAATGAATTTTCTCTCGTTCATTGCACGGGTATTGCCCATTTAAAAAAGAAATAGGTTCATTTTCTGAAATGCATAATTATTAATGTCCAGGCCCGCGTCCACCTGTTATAGAATTTGTGTTGAACACATTCATACTATATAAACAAAAATACAATACAGTATCATGTGTGATGCGCAGTCTTCCTTTCTATCTGACCTGGTAAGAATGCGGGTTATGTTGATGTTATGGCTCAAATATTAAACACGTTGAGTGTGTTCATATTCTATATGCTAAAATTCATATAGCTAATTTCGCTTAATTTACAATTGATATTTTCATAACATGAAAAACATTAACGCAAGTGCAATGTTTGTGAAAATGACAGAGCGATTATGACCTACTACACTGTAACTAGATGGTGTTAACCATCGCCATACCTAGCGTGCGTCTATGCATGGAATTTGTAGAAAAGACTTTGACAAATTTCTTGTTCTGGTAATGATTTTGCGAAGTACCTATTATTTTCGTTTTGACTCCTCCGAGTGTGATAACTGATGACGACTGGGAAATTACACGGTGTTCGCGTGCTTCTGTATGGCGTGAGTCTCTTCAATATCTTCGGGTGCAACTGCATGAGTGGATATCACATAGAACACGGTGAACTTTTCAGATTGTCTTATGATTATTTTTCCTGTCAGTTATATCTTATATACAGTTCAGTTATATATCTCTGCACCCCAAATTATTATGTGTTTTGACAATAGGTGGGTCTGTGAAGGCGTGTCAGTCCTTAATTGTTCTGTTGCTAAAAAGTTTTTTCGATGTAACTGATGCTAAAAACAGCTTGGAGGATCAGCAAAGAGGATGGATGCATTTTTTTATAAGCAAAGACTGAAATAGAATGTTGTATCGTTCAGCTGTCACTTCTATCTGATTGCTAATGACCCAACTTGATATGATTGTTTACTTCACAATTGTATCTCTACTATGTGAAGTGCATTGCATTGTAAACATTATCATCTAATCAAAAGGGGCGTACTTTGCCCACTGCAGAAATGAATGTAATAACGATATAAAATGTACATACTGGCAAAGCGATTGTCGCTTCTGACACCAACAGAAAACTCGTTTACCATTTGTACTCATATCAAATTCCTGGACTATTTGATAGACGCGTGCCGGTCACGTTTCTATATTTGGTTTAAAGATTTGGTGCACGAACGTTAGATAAACGCTTGGTAAATATTTTACAGCAATATACCTGAATCGATCCGCATAAGATGCATTATCGCGCATTAAGTTAATGTCATAATCTACATGCTTATATGATTTCATATAGTGTTCAAACTAAGCGTTCAAAGTAAGGCGAAGAACAAACGAGCAATATCCAAAGGAAGGCCAAAAGTCTAGACCTGCTTTTTCAAATAAGACTTCCACTGCATTAATGTTGGTACATAGAAGTAAATCATCATTAGCCGAGGCAGTAGGTGAGCAAGGAGGGCAGGTGTGCAATATTCAGGTCGAACAACAAGGAAACTGTGGTAAGCACGCGCCCGTCTGGTTAACATTTTACAGGTAACTGCTGTCAGGAAACAGCTGTTTGGTGTGGCAGCACCTTGAATTCGACCTTCCAAAAATAATATGTTTATGTGCTTGTATCAAATGTTGAGAAAAATGGCATTTATTAGATACTAAAAGGGCAATCAATTTCTTTTCGTATGTAGATCATATGAAATGGTTATAGCTAATTCTAACTGGTAACGATTCTAGTTGCATGAAAGGATGCTGCCTCGACAGTTAAAAAAGAAATGTATTCGACGCAGAAGGGAAATAAAACGTTTTGCCCGTTAGTGATTCACTACAACACGGATCTCATAGGAAATCTAGTGCATTTTATAAAATGGTCTGGATGCCTTGTCGTAATATATTTTGCATTTCCCCATCTCCCAGAGACGTTCACAGATTTGAGCGATATATGGGGAATCTTATTGATTTTCCTCCCCAGCAGACCTGCACTGAAACCTCGGGAGCCCCTCCATTATCTTTATGAACGTCTTGGCATTACTCTCTTGCGCGGTGTTCAAAGCCGTACTCCTTGACCAAGTACATACGAAATATATGATTATAGAGTCCAGGGTAACGATCCAATAATATAGCATCATGTATTAAAACATGAAGCGAATGATTGTTTTTAAGTTTTGAAAATTCGAAATAATAATAATAATAATGATAATTTACATTCTTTATCAAACCCATGCATTTATCCATATAATTACTGGAAACTCTACCCATCACAGTGCTCAGTACTGAAAAACCTAGTGGAAGACGTTCCCGATCGATCGAAAAAACATGGCCTTTTCTTAGTCTCTGTATAAGAGGAGTTATTGGCGAGCTAGTCACTTGACTCGTCGGTTTGGGTTGCTAATGTAATTTACAAGCATCGATATAGTTTTGCCAACACGAGAATAACGTAATACCAAGGTATGGTAGGCAAAACTGAAAAAAATGCTTTCCCAAAGCTCTGAGGGCAATTTCTTTTGCCAAGACATTCATCTAATTAAATCTTATTTCTTTAGATGAAATTACGAATTTTCTTATCTCATGTTTGACATTATTCTGGCTTTCGAAAGTCCCTCACCTGTAAAACAAAGGATTTTGATGGAATTTTTCCAAACACCCCAAGCATATTTAAGGGAGCGCATCTTTTTATTACGACCAAAGAATCTTTTTTTGAAGAAACATTGGTGATTTATTATCGAGTCAAGCCACAATCGGTCTGATCACTGATAAATAAATAATCGTACTGTTTCCAGCTTTATTATGAGTATGCTTTCAGCGCGGATGTGTATTCACTATAATTTTCTCTTTTCAGACAAAGTGATTTCAACAAACCAGCAAGATGCCGACCGAAGTGGTGGACATTGAAGACATAATGAAGGCCTACGCCAAAGATGTGTTCGATAGAACGAAGGACAAAGAGCAAAAACGCATCCCAGATGAAGCACTGGAATACACCATCAACTGGAAGAGAGTCAAATTCATCCACGCTGAACCTGTCTACGGGAACGAGACGCGACCAAAACATCCACAGGCTCAAGTTTTATTCAAAACGTTTTTCACAAACAACACAGACCGGGAACAAGACTATTCTTTCCAAACACAGCGAGTGACGAGGTCCTCGTGTAACGTGGAGATTGAAAGGGGGGTCATGATGGGACAAGAGATGGGCGTTCAGTTACAAACGCCGTGCGAGGTGTTCCAGGCAAACGCGGGCTTCAAACGCGAAATCACATTGAATCGCCTAGAAGGAGAGATCGCGGAGGAGGAATTAAGCTGGGGCGTTGACAGTCAAATCCGCGTAGCACCAAAAAGCCAAACATTAGCCGAACTCATCGTTTCGGAAACGGAATACGGCGGGCACTTCACCATTCAGAGTCGCTTTGAAGGCAACGTCATGATCAGCATCACGAATACTAGGGAGAACAACTGCCTTGTGAAAACTGTTGAGGGAAATGTTGTCAACATCTTCAAAAGGGAAATCGAAAATGGTCTAAAGGGCTTCCGCGTTGAAAAGAACTCGGTCTGCTTCGAAACTAAAGGACGGTGCCATTTCAGATACGGTATTGAGCAGCACGTGAAATTGAGCCAGCAGCCTCTGAACAACAACGATGTGCAGTGATAAGCCAGACGTCGTGATGGACAGCATATACAGCATGTTTCGTATTCAGACCCATGGACGGGAACGAAGAATCATTGTGAATGTAGGTGCATGAAATACCATTCAAGCACAAGTAAAAAAGAAATGTATGTATGTTTCTTTTTAACTTGTGAAGTTCACAAAGGATATATCGCCTCTGGGTAGGCGAAGATTTACTTTCACAGAGATAATAGTTGAAAACTTTATACGTGCATACAGGGATATTTGACCTAATCAGTTTGTAAGTATTTCTATGCTTTTAAGTTATAAATTATAATTAAAACGAAACCTAATTATACTTTTTGAAAATGATAATTGTTCGAATTAGCTGTTATATAATAATAATTGCAGTGCAAAGGGCACAAAAGTTCAGAGTTAACATCAAGTAGCCGATTTCGATTTCTAAACATAGACAAAATAGTGTGATAGAGTAGGTAGAGTTCGCGATTGCGATAGAGAAGACAGAGCGATTCAGTGCATTTCAGCGATATCATTTCACCATCAGCTGCCCTGGCGAGGCACAAAACATTTCCATGGATCATTTCCGCATTTGTTGCTAATGTCTAATATTTATATTTTATACAATCAGTCTCCTTATGGCTTTATACGATGTAATAAAATCACTTTTTTGTGATAGCCAAATATTTGCCCTTTTAGTCAGTGTTTAGTGACGTCTTATATAGTAGTTATTTACTTAACCTACTTTATGTTTGATTAGTAGTCCGATGTAAAAAAAAAAAGCAGCATCAGAAGAAAGAGACAAGTTAAACGGATGTTTATCTGTTATGAGCAACAAATAACATGATGGAATTTCCGAGAGTAAATATGAATCAGCCGTGTCAACATATAAAAAGCGTGACTCGTGGGAATTTCAACATCGTCACCTGTCAAACTTTCATTTCTTTTGAATTAAAGAATATTTTCTTTGTGTTCTGTCTGACAGGTAGAAAGTACCTGTACCTTATAAGGTGGTTGAGGACTGATATCCAAAATCTTTCCGTTAAGTTATTTTCTGGCAAATGACTGATGCAAAATGCGTCACTTCTTTCTACAAGAAGTACTTAAAGAAAATAAAACTACACGTACACGTAACTACACGTTAATCAACACCGGGCAAACGGACACAGATCGGCTTTCCTTTCCAAAAAATTAGGTAAGAAAACGCTGCATAATTATTAGCCACTTGAAGAGTAATGAACAACCTAAAAACAATATTTCATCAACAGAATTTTGTTCCGTTGTAAAAAGAGGATTGTTTGTCGAATCGTGTGGCAAATTACGTAAAAAATAACATTCGTTTCAGACGCCGCATTACCGACTTAAAAAGATGTCCCAAGTAACGTCAACCGAGTGTATCATCCAAAAGTATGCCCTAGACGTTTTCCAAAAAACTAAAGACAAGAAGCAGAAGAAAATCTCACCGCAGTCTCTGCATTTCCAAATACGTTGGAAAAAGTCGCCGCCCCATACTAAAGAAGAAACCAATGGCCATTTAAAACACCCCGAGGCCAAGTCTTTCACAATTAATGACTTGGTAGCCCACAAGGAAGACAGGGTGGTCATTACGGTCACTGATGAGGACCATCGTTTCCTCAAAACTATTGAGGGAAACGTGGCAGACATTTTGAAGTACTCAGAGTCCCAGTCGGACAAATCTTAAATGAGGACCAAAGTAGTTTTGTGGAGCAAAATTAGGAAAGAACTTCACGTGCAGAATTGACACAAACAGTCTTTTTCCCGGTGGAAAGTAAACACACAACGAATATCATAAGTGAACAATCAACTAATTTCTCTCTCAGATAAGATTTAATCAAAATTTAGCTATATTTCATTGGATTAATGAAAGTGAATTCGTGTATACTGTGACATTCAAAATTGGAATATAAAATGAAAAATTTGTCTGAAATGGAAAAAGATACCCCACTCATATATACACAGAGTAGAACATAAGAGGACTACAGTGAAAGAAACAAATGCATGACCATTGTAAGGTTGAGGTACACTAAGCTTTTGCCTCCAATTGAATTGTGCCATATTTATTCCACTTAGGAGCTCGATTTACCCATGGGTGTGTTTTTGGTGACTTGTCTCACTATTCAACAACAGCCTTCGGGTCTCATTTAACTTGACTACTAGTAAATCGTATATTGTCATAAAGGCACCTAAAAGACAACTAAAATTGTGAACATGCAATACCGTTGTAAAATGCCATAAAACTGATGGCTAATATTTTGTCAAGTTAAATTCATTCTTTTGCACTACTGTAATAAATATATATTTTTTGAAAGCAACATCTTGTAGAAATATTTTCACATTTTGCTTCAGGTTACCGGTACCAATAACAATATTGAAGTTACATGTAACTAAACAGTACTTAAACTGAACTTGTCAAATGGGCACTCAGAAGACTTCTTAGAGTCTTGTATCACTATGCATATCAGGGGCATTTACATAACCCTTGTTATCTAGGGGTAGTATATTAAAAATACATCTCAGCTAGAAATCAACACCTTTTCTACAGAAGTGAATAATGTGGAGGTAGCATACGAAATGTATAGGAAATTAACCTAAACTTTGCAAGAAGACTGCACACTACCTACTGTACAAGCAAAAGCTAAATATACAAATACCTTGTTAAACATACAAAATAAAACGTGAAAAGACATTTATTTCATCTTCCTTTTGAAAAAATTATCCAAGCATGAATGTCTCTTAAAAATGTTCTAAAAAGCTGACACAAATTGTTATCAATTTCAATGCTGTTACGTAGTGATTCATAATACTTAACAATGTTTAATAAATTTGATGAGAACAATTGCTCCTAGTCCTTGTAAAATAGAAAACATTTATGAAGATATATCTGTTAGCACCTATAACATGACTTAAGTACCACTGTCATTACTTGACCCCAGATGCACACTGCACCAAGTGACATACATAACAACAAACATGCATAAAACAACCTTGTCATAATGTAAAATAGATGGATACACAGAAAATGGGTTTACTCCATCATCAAGAAAATCTTCATAAAAGATATCACATGCATGATGCTAGTTGACCAATATAACTAGCTAGAGACACCATCTTCTTCTGTATATGTGTCTAAGCCATGTGTAGCAAGATCTCGCTCCCAGGACCTGGACTTCGCTTTGTGCAGAAATATTGTTATAAGTTCCTTGTCGACCTGTAAAATCATATCATTTAAATGTTATAAATGCCGCAGTTTCAGTATATTAATATTATTTGTTATATGAAATGATTAGATTTGAAGTATACTAAGTACTGTAGATACACTAAAACATACACTGAAAAGCATTATCTTTTAAAACGAATATTAATAAATGAATATGAAAATAATATTATTTCCAAACCTTATAATAGCAGTCAGATGGAATGATTTCATCTGGCAGTTTCTTGATATGCACTTTGCAGTTCTTCAGACTGGGATTCTTCTTTTTGTCTTTATCTTTGGCAAAAACCAAAAGGGTGAAGGACCTGTAAGAGTGCATTTCTATTTAAACTTCCCTTATTTTACTTTTATACACTGCTTGTGAAGCAAAACAAAGTCCCAGCACTTCATCTTTGCATCAACAGTTAACAAACGAAAATGAAGATTTTTCCATGAGGAGATGATCTTTATAAAGCGCCCGTTAATTTGCTTTAGAGGAATATTTTAATGGCAAATTACAGGGATGGGAGCTATTCAGACTGGCAGCCATACCGACTGAATGACATAAGTTAAATCTGGACAGCAAAGCATTGGAGATCATTGAATGAATACTTGTTACAAACCTCTCCTCGTATTTAACATCAACAGTAAAATTAGCTGGTTTCTTGACCATCTTGAATCCTTGCAGTGTATTCTTCGCCTGTAGTCCCAGGACGACCACCTGAACACGAACGTAGTCTTCTGGGCCTTTTTCATCCGTGGATACTACGAGAAAAATATAGTATATTACATGTACTAGTAGATTGGAATTAATTTTCAAAAAGGAAAACAGTCTGCTGGCGTGACTTGGAGAGGAGGCAGATGGGTTTGCTACGTTGAGCGCACACTTTGATGAACACTCATTTTTGACTGGGATCCACTTTGAATGTTCTTCATTGAGAACTCCCCATGCAACGACAAATGTTCATAGGTACAGATGTATTTGCTGTTGTTGGGTGGGGACGGCATCTAGTGCAGATAAGATCTTTTAGTAAACTGGGGGTTGTACTACAGCTTCCTCACTTGCTAATATTATAGAATCAATTAAACAGCGAACAAACAGCATGATTCCTTGTGTCACTTATTATCATATACGGTAAATGAAGTTAATTCATAATACCTGCATACGGATCGCTGAAGTTTTCGTCTTCGCCGTCCGCCATCTTGACTTTCGCGCCCTCTGTCGGCGTCGAGTTTTAGGCTCTGTTCTCACAACTTTTAGATCGATCTATCACCGCGGGGAGTCTCACTAGATTACTGTCAGATAATCCCCCTTAAGTGTCCGTCCCCGCCTACTACAAGCTTTAAGGGGTAATTAACTTTCGTGTCCGCCCGGCTGACAGCTATTTAGCGTGAACCCCCAGGGAGTTAGGTCGATCCAATGTAGGTCGATCTAATCTATGAGAATGGGGTGTTAGTGATAGGCCTACAACCCGTCTCCCGTCTGCAGTAGTACTATCATGGTCAGGATTCTGGTCTATAAATTAGATATTCATTGAGATATAAATATGCACCATGTTTTACAAAGTCAATGCCTCAAACAGTTTTTCCTGACTGATTTACCGAATGACTGATAACGTTATATAATTTTAACATTAAGTGCACGTCGTTAGATTAATTTAGGCCTAATCCTGGATCACGTCTGGCTTGGATGAAAAAGTTTTAACTTACCTGTCGAAATGGTGTAGGCTATGAAGCAAATTTTAACTGGATAAAGGGGCTAACGCGCTGGTATGGTACAGGTTATTATTGTTAACTATGATTTTGGTAACTATTTCATAGGGAATAGCACAGAAACGCAATCAAAAACTGTGCTGAGGGGGTCAAACCCTCCAAATTGTGTCTATTTTCCCTTTAAAAGACTTTTTTTCATCTTTGATTTTTTTAATCTGACCTTTCGTTTGTGGTTATTTTTTTATAGTTGCGTGTTCTCAATGCCACAGAGCAACCACCGAGGGAAATCGCAAATAGACTATAAGGGCTCTATAAAAAATCCTATAGGCCTATTTCTGCGCGTTCAAATGATTCATGCACGTCTTTACAAGCCACGTCAGTATGTTTTTTAGAAATGTAGGCTAGGTTACTGGTAGGTCTGTCCCTCCAGCAAGAACACTGACATGTTCTTTTTGTACGGATGCTTTTTTAAACGCCATGGAAAGCCAGTACAAGATAACTTATAGGCCCTACATCTAGTGCGTCCAGGGTCATGTTCCTTCATGATCTTGTTTTTGAGGAGGATTTTTTTTCTGGAGCATTATTTGAAGTCACGCCTAAACACAATTTTAATTTTATTTGAAAAATAATTAACTTAAGCCAACGACAATACATGTAGATACAGAATAATAGGTCGATTACATTGTCAGTGAGTACTGAGTATACCTAGCAAAAGGAACACGCTCATAACCTAGTCCGGTGACACGCCCCTAAATGGTCCATTTTATTAGGCTACCGGAAATGTTCAGTCTCTGCCTCCCGACCATGCAATAGGGAAACATCGTCTTCCGTGATGATATTAGTAGCATCATATGGAGATACTGAGCACGGAAGCAATTTTCAATTATTCATATATTGTATGGTCGCATTCACAACGAGTTGNCCAATGGAGCCGAGATTTAATGACTGGCCCCCCGCAGGGACGACGTGTGCGGAGGCGTGTGAGAGGCGGGGAGACTATTAAAAGATTAGGCGGTTTTTCTTTCATGTACGTCCGCCATATTTACTCCCCAGGATTCGTAAAGCCTGGCTCAACTCGTTGTGAATGCGATCTATAATGAATAATCTATTACTTAATTTCACAGTTATATATTTTTATATTTAAATAATGTACCGAACTGTACCCTTTTTTCGCAAATCATTTTCCTTGTATATAAATATCCCATTTATATTTTAAGAAATGTAGATTGAATTTCAACAGACCAAAACTTCGAAGCACGATATTACTTTTGGATTCACGATACGAAAGTTTAAAAATTATCACTACAGACTATATAGGCCCTCGTTCGCATAATTTTAAAATCTCAAATATATGAGTGGAATATTAATTTTTAGTTAATTAGATATTACATATCGACTAACGGCACGTAGATATTCCATATTATGGCAAGTTCCTCAGTTTCGTATCCGTACATGCAAGGTGTAATCTATATATAGGCCTACATTAAGATTCTGTAAATGGATGGATGGATGCAGAAAGACAGACAAGAAAACAAATAGTCATCAACAGAGGCCATTATGTCTTAAAAGCAAATCAGTCATATGTAGACTTCTAAATGAGCATTTATTCGTTGAGAAAACGGACTTTCATCTTAACATTTTAATTTTGCGGGGTTATGTTTTTAATGTATTTTTGCACCGTTCTTATTTTTGGTCCCTTTCGTGCACCAAGACGTTTGTCCGTGTCCATAGCTTCTTGCAAAATGTTTTTGACATTACGTACACGAATCACGGCAGCCCTGTTATCATTTATAGTAACTCCCACCATTAAAGTATCGAGGTCTTCTATTATAAGACTGAGAGGGTATATGTAAGGATCGTCAATAAATGAACCTCGAATTATGGGGACATCTAGGATTGTGGGGTGAACGTGTATTGGCGAAGACACAAAGACAATTCGTGGCACAGGTAAAATACTGAGCAGCACCAAATTTGCAGTGTACACAGAATGTCCGTTTGATTTTTTAAGAACTCTCGCATGACCCATGCATAAATAATAAGGCCATTTGTATAACTCAAAGGGCGATCCTCCTCTCAGTACATCGTCCTCGAGTTTAAATGGGTGCTGATCAGCATTTTCAGTTTTGAAAGTAAATGCACAAGAAAGTTTGGAGTCACATTTCAGCACTCTCAACGGATCCAGCGTGTAAATGTAATACAGCGTCCCCTCTATATCAAGAGGCGACCAATTCGAATCGATTGTTGCCATGGTATAATTCTTTATAGTTGGCTTCATAACATAATTTTGGTTATACTCCCAAAGATATAAATGTCCAGTTTCTTTGCCAGCAATTTTCATGCACATGTAGAAGCTGAGCCATAGATGTGATCCTACTTTGACAAGTCGTCCATCCGACGGCCCGCCATTCATAATATATTGTCTGGGGGCAGGAATCCCAATAATACTAAGGTTCGTCTTGGGTTTAAAATATCTGTCAAACTTCTGAGTGAGCAAATAATTGTCAAACCAGCTATTTGGCTCACTGCTTATGGTATTTTCTGAGTAACGCTTTTCGTAATTGAACCAAAGTCTCAAAGAAAAAATAATTTCGCCTTTGTAAAAAGTCATACCGGGACTCATGATGTAAAACTCCATATTTGAATCATTGCCGCTTGGATTTGGGAACATCTTTCTGACGTGATCCTCGGTCTGGGGATAAAACTGGTGCACGAGAGTCGTAAGCAAATCACCCGTAATGTTAATGTGGCCATCATCGTGAAAAACAGCACCGGTTATTTTTGCTGCATAGGGATAGAAATCCCGCACGATTATATTCTGGTCTAAATTGTGAGCTTCGTCGTAGGTCGTTTCCAACTGGTCGCATTTTTGTGATTTATATCTCTTTTTCACACTGTTCTGGCTGTCTGTCAATTTGCCGCCGGTGGAAGATTCCCAGAGAGCAAGTACGATAACCACTGCTATAATGCCACAGCTGGCTGCGAAGTATTTCACAACTTGCCCACGCATCGTTTCAGGTGCTAGAAAAAAAAACACAGACCATCATGATTATGTCCATGACAGTGTTGAGTTTGTAGTTTTTCCTTAGGATTTTAAAGATGAAAATAAACATTATTCTCATTGGGATATTATTAATGAAATAATTATGAATGCCTTAAAGAATATACATGCATCTCGCCTACATTTGTTAGATAAACATGTATGTAAGGTTTAACATCGGCATTATGTATGTTATGAATCTAGTTTATAAATAAGCTATATCAGATTAGTTCGGAAAAGGCAAGGAGTTATAACTCCATGGAAAAGGCAACAAAAGAGTCCTCTCCAGGCCCTAGCTTTACACTAAATTACAGCGAATGAAGACAAGGTCGCCTTCCCTTTTTGATATATCTGGGCTTTTCCCCTAGGAAAAAACTGATCATTAAATAGTAGGCCTATCTAGAAAAAAAATCTAATGTATTATACTAGTGCTTCAGACTGTTTATGTTGAGGCTATAAATACCCACGTCCTGACAATACTCATGTGTACGGGCACCTAGCATGTAGGGTCGAAAACTGAGGCAAGTCAGGGAGAGGTAATACATATTCAAGGCTTATATCGCGATAGGGTGGCAGAGTATTATTTGACATACATACCGAGAGAAAGTAGGCCCTATTCAACCGAATAAAGCGTATATATCGCCATGGTTACATAATATGTCTGGGTATACGTACATGCACATGTATGTACAATTTAACCACCTGTTGTGACATTTCTATAGTCAGGTATACTGTGTACGGAGTGTACATGTAGGCCTACCAGTAATTATTTGAACCGTCGTGATGAAATCGAGAAAATGGAAATATCTCTAGTTTCTGGACTATTCTATACTTTTTTTAGCAATAGTAGAATGTCAGTAGTAGATTGCCTTAAAATGCCCGTCTTGGGGCTGAATTTAATCACGAGACGCTTTATAGATACAAAACGTCGATAACAGGCCGATAACTCGTTCTTTGTTTTAACATAATACTCGTTAATGAGCTGTCCATTAGTTTCAATACTAGAAAATATGAATTTTTCAATTTTTTGGTTCACCTTTATGCAATAGGCCCGGTTGGCTGAACTCTCTCTCCCACAATAACACCTGTCGGAGTTCTATTCCTTGTTCAAGTCGACAACAGCACGGGCGTGGTCATACTGTTCCAATAGCACCACCCTACTAGTCTCGAGTGTCCAGCAGCCTCCAAATCTCCCGAGCTAAGTTAGAATCATCAAGCAGTATCCAGGCGAGCTTGAAAGGGCCGTTGATTTCTTCGATTTTCGTTGAATCTCCCCTGGGCCCTTTCCTGAATCTCCCCTGACCCCCCTGACCCTCTAGGTTGTGTCCGACCTATATAATGCAAGGGCTTAACGCAGGTGGATGGATTATATGACGAATATAACGCAGGTGAAGTGTTGTCGCTCAGGGGCCCTTTTGTAATACCCCGGCAGCTGTGAGCAACACTGATGTAAAGTAACTAACTCTGCAATTTGAAGTAATTAATATATGTATGTACCGTAAGGGGACTACTAAAATAGGGAGCTGGAAAATGAGATTTACAGAATCAAGTAGACAGACGGGTGTTCCGGGAGAGGAGCTCAGAGTATGGAGACCCTACCCTCTACCAGGGTGGCAGATTATATAGGGAAAAGCAGAAAATCCAGAGCTAAATGACTGTCTTTTTATCTATAGACATATCTGTGAATATCTGTGAAAAATCGATCTGTCGCCCTGGTAGAGGGTATGGAGATCCCACGTCATGATGTAGCTACGGGCGTCAGCGAATAAATCGCACCACTGGTCATTATGTGTAGGCCTACTTGGGTTTTCTTTGTTCGACCTCGCGTTAGTTTGACACAGAGCGTGGTGTCTATGGGTTGCGTTTACACATCAAGGTGATCAGGCTATTGTAAATAAGGAATGTATTATTATCGCCCTATTAGTTTTATATTTTCGTCCTAGAATCGAGGCTGTCTAGCTTCACAAAGTGTTTGACCTTATTGGTGCACATTTGGTGTTTCGAATCCTCGTGTTTGAAAAGAGTAGGCTGAAGAGTGGGCATAAAACTTCACATCCTAACCGGTATATCAGGAATAAAATAAAAAATTTTAATGAATCCTGGAAATTTGAACAAACCCCCTGAGTAACGAAAGTAAATCCCATCCAAAACTGTTGAAAAAAAAAGTATCTATAGACCCTTTTTTATTTCTAAGTCTCTCATGGAAGCTGGTAGATTTCTTTTATATTGATAAAAAATAGAAATTTTATGAGTGCGCACATTGGTATGTTTCTATACAATCAAAAACAAAGTTTTTAAAAATCTAATACTGGACCTATGATTAGTCTAACTTACGGCGTTATTTATGCGAAATACGACCAGATGACTTATCTTCTACGTACATAGTTTTATTTTCCCATACTTACCAATGGTTAATGAATCCATTTTTGCATTCAAAGTTAGTCCCTGTTTTTTTTTCTAAAGAGTTTGGTTTTTTTGTTAAAATCTCTTAAGAGATTTTAGCAGAGTATAGCCATCAATGGAGGTCACGTGGTCTAAAGAAAAGCTCAGATATCAGAATAATAGGTATAACTGCCGTTTTTGTGGTAAAACAGAATATGTTATATTTCTATGAGTTATTCACAATGTTTTTATTGTGAAATATAGATCTCATACGAAGAGTTATTATCCCTTTAAGGATATTGTAACCCTTCGCCTAAAATCCCTTATATGCCTTACATACATTCTTTAGGGTATTAAATAGGCCTACATCTTCAGTGTTCAGTGACTAAATTAACGAGTAACGTCATAATTGCGATTATGGGGTAAAAACGAAAAAAAATATCTTTTAATAGTGCACCCACGATCACCGTTTCATCGCCGATTTAATGACACCATTTAGTACTCCAAAACCAAGCAAGAGATTTTTTTTAAAGGCTTCGCTCAGATTTTATCGTTGATAAAGCAAAATGATGCCTTTGTTTAATGAAAATTTGTAACAGGGGTCTCATAACTCCACAACAAAAACATTTAAACCAAAATGACGACACGGGATTCTAGCCTATACACTCCTGGTCAACTCTCGTGATAAAATCTTGTTCATGGATGAAGTTACGCCCCATATCAATTGCTATCTCACCTTAAAAAAGGTAGAAAGGTGTTGAATTGACGATTAAAGCTTTGAAGTGCCTATGCTAATACATTGCAACGAAAAATATGAACGCTGATATTTTATATTTTCGAGGGTTTTTTCATTGTTTTAAATCAGCACAAAGAGAGATGCATTATTGAACACAATAGATGCAGGAAAAACCTCATTTTCGGTATCTGAATGATAATAAAGGTTTACAATATCCTCAATTCACTATGTAACAGCTTTCAGTCAACGCCGATTTAATGACACCAATTAGTATAGTACTCCAAAACCCAGACAGCGATTTTTTAAAAGGCTTAGTTTAGATTTTATCCTTAAATAATGCCTTTGTTTTATGAAAATTTGTAATTAGGGGTTCATAACTTCATGACATGATCATGGGACATTGCATCAGAAAA